TAAATCTTGTGTCCTTTAGCGCACCATCCGAGCCTAACGCGCATTACTATAAATTTACTTGCTGGTGCTTGTACGAAACACCGACAGTTTGATTGCAACACTTACATCTGAAGCATACTCCTTGTTTGCATCAAATCTGAATTTTCTTTGCACGTGTGTTTGATCCATTTACATGACTTATATCTTGTGGTCAGCACTTGGCATTGGACTTCTAGTTTGGACTGTGATTTAGCTTTACAATATCTAGAATTCAGATTGCATTCCTTGTGTATCATTCCCCACCAAGCTCCACTTAAAAGCCACCGTAATAGGAACGCTGATCTTGTATTCGCTTAACCATCACTTTCTTGTTACCACCTCGCATTGCCCTTCTGTAATCCTCAGGAATTCATAAGAGCTCAGTTGGTAAGAGAGGTGAGGTTGTGAGATTCCACATATATTTTCTTATTCCACAAATATCTATTGTTCGTATTTAGCTAACCTTATAGGAAGATGGGTGGAGTTGAGATAGAACACTACAAGAAATATGAAGATCTATGGCAATTTTTTGTGACGATGAGTCAATTCGTCAATAAGTCATTCTGTTTTATGACAACTTTCAGGGGGAGAATGACTTTTTGACGAAAATAATGTGTTCGTCATTAAGACACAATAAAAATCGTCATAACCTAGAGAAGTAGTTTGTTTATGATGATCTATGTTTCGTCATAACATGCTACCTTACGGTCGTCATAAAATATTGACAATATTAGTTTGTTATAACTTTTTATTTACATATAATAAATGAGATATTTGGTCCCATTGTCAGTTGTATTTTAATGGGCTCTATATGCAATGCTATTTTTAGAAAATAAAAAATAAAAAATCATCTTCGTCTCATGTCATATGATATGAAAAAGGTATAATACTTTTCCTAAGGTCGAGGCAAAAGATTCCGAAAAAAAAAATTAAGACAATGGCAAGATTTGAACCTGAGATCCTATTATTAACATCCATGAGTCTTAACCACTAGGACATCAACATGTGATTGCTAACATTTGCAAGTTACTGAATATATAGATGTATTCTCTGCCATAGTCGCTTCCGGTTCTTTCTATTTATTACATTATTACAAACGTGTAAATATGTGTATGAAAAAAAAAACGGATTGCTGAATTGTGGCCGGGCCATGTAATGCCAATTCTTCCCTAACATGGTTGCTGTGCATACCTTGTTTTACAAACTGACACGACTGGTGGAGCACCAGAATCAGACCTCATTTCCAATCAATCTTATTGTAGTTGATTGATAGCAATGCTAGCTGTTGCCACTGTCCGCCGTGCGATGCTCACCAGCTACACCAAACGCGCGCATTTAGGAATTAGTAGGTACGAGTATTATTTTGGTCGTGATGCGCTCGCGTTCTCGATCCGATCCACGGCGGTGCCTTGCTCTGCAGATAGCCCTGCAGTTGCAGCTTGCGGCAAAAGGGCGCAACTGCGCAAGTCAGCTAGCGTGTTTCCCATTTCCAGCCTGCTCAGCGGCGGCGGACCGGTGGGAAAAGGCATAAAACCAGGGGAGGGGACAGAACAGAGTTTTCTATGTAAGCATTCGCCAGCCGCAAACCCGCCCACAGGAGGAAGAGGAACCGGCCACCGGGCCAGGCTGCTGTGGGCTGAGATCCGCTGGTTTCCTTCTGCTTCCGCACGAACGAACGAACGAACGGGTTTTATCATGCGGTACTCAGCGGATCAAGGCCGCCGGGCCAGGCTGCTGTTCAAGGACGTGGTCTGATTCTTCTAGATTGCCGTTAATTTAACAGGCTTTCCAAGGGAGCTGCTGTTTTTGTTTTTTTTCTCTCTCACTGCAGGAGGATGATGAAGACTAAAGATAGTTGAAAATGTATCCCTAAGCTTTGCTTAAAAGGCCTCGTTCGGCTGATCAAGAAGCCGGCTTGTTCGGCTTTTTTTTTTCAGCCGGAACAGTGTTTTCTCTCACAACATTTCAACCAGACACAGTGTTTTTCAGTATAAATAGTGCGTTTTTCATACCAGCCGAACAGGGGCAAAAATCATTAGGCCATCTCTTTGTTTTTTTTTCTTTCAATAGAAATCGCGGTAAATCTTTACCGCCACTTGGACAGAAATTCTACGTATAATACTCTACCAAAACACAATTCATGACGTAGGCACCGAGGAGGAAGACTGCTGGCACGCACCAAACAAACGCCGGGTTGCAAAACACCGGTTGATAAATTCCAAAACGAAATCGACAACCAAAGAACCAAACGAATCTGCTCCAACCTTATTCGCAAAATGCAAAACAACACACCACAACAGAGATTCGAACTTCAGACCTCTCACACATGAATCAGTAGCCTTAGCCACCAGACTAGAGAAGTGTTCACGACTGTGCTAGTGTTTTTCTTTATTTATCTCTGACTCAATATTAATGAAGAATAAATATCCCGTTCTTCCATGGGGAGTCCGTGAGTCTTCGCACATGCGCCGGCGGCTGCTCCCGATTGAACGCCGCCCGGCCGCCCAACGAATGCTCCTGTCGCCCCTCAGCTCCGCCTCCGCGCCTATGTGCTCCTCCTCCGTGGCGAGCTCCTCCTTCTCCACATCTTCTTTGTGCTTCCAATTGGGAACCGGGCGCAGCGGCACTCCGGTAGATCCATCCGCGACCGTCTGCTCCGACCCTGCTTGGCAGCTGGGCAGTGGGCGCTGCCAGGTGTGTGGCCCCCAGCCAGTGCCCACTGCCCCGAGCATCTACACTGCTGCTTAGGTCCCAGCGCCCTTGCAACCCCGCCCCTACTGCACATAGCTCACGGGAGTCACGGTGAGTATCGATTTCTGATTTTGATTTTATCGTATGCAATCAATAAGAATAGTATTCATATTCATTCAAGATAATAATCATGTCAGCTTCTCAATAAATTCAGCATACCATGTGCTAAGAAAAATTACCATGTGCTCAATCAGAATAATATTTATATTCACACATGATTTTAGAGCAATTGATACTGACAGCAAGCCAGTCGAAGAGGCATGTGCTGATTTGCTCAGGACTGGAACACGGCAAATGAGGTACAATTTGAAGAAGCTTTACTTCAATGGTGTACCAGCAGACAAAGTTAGAACAACATCACCATTGAAGAGTATGACTGATGATCAATGGAGAGAGCTGGTGGAGATGTGGTCAAGCCCAAAGCACAAGGCATGTTGGTCAATTGCTTTCTTAAGCCATTTATTTTCTTGCATTGGTTTGTTGCATGTTTCAGTTTATTTCTTCGTACTGTACACCAATTTGATTGTGTCTAAGATTCAGTAGCTATGCTATTGGACTGTATACAATAGGCCATCCTTATAATTATACCTGAAGTTGCTTGGCTTGTTACCATGATAATTGTGTGCTCATTAGATATTAATGAGCCTATTGGGCTGCACTCAATACAACTGCAGCTCATTATATTTTAGCGACAACATATAGGGTTGTGTTGCAGTTGGTCTTCCAGAATAGGGCACAATCTTTGGCTGTGATTACTTTCTGTTTTTCAAACTGTTTTAGGTTAATAACTTGTTGTGGACATAAATTCAACTACACTTAAAGAGTGTTGATGTTTGTTGAATATCTTAGCAAATCTGGTTTTAAATTCAACTAATTTTTATCTCTCTCTATAGCCATTCTTCCCTGCTTACTAAATTGTTCCTCACAGGACAAGTGTGCAAAAAATGCACTTAACCATGAGAAAGTAAGGTTTCATCAGATGACAGGATCTTGGTGCTATATTGCGACAACCCATGCCTTGGTAAGATATGGAAACATTGTGTTACAATCATTCATCATTGAACAATTATTCTTATAATATTACACCTACATAATGTTTGTGAATAATTTTAGAAGCAAGAGAAATATAAAGATGAACCACCCAGTGCTATAGATCTTTTCAAGGCGCTACATTGCAGCAGCAAGACTTGGTTTAATGAGTGTGCAAAGGAAGATATTGTAAGTACAAGCTCCATTTTGAACTATATATAGCTCTGAACAAATGTTACTGGTTTTAGTTGAGTCTGTAATGTGTACATGCTTTCTGCTATTACTTGTGAGACACAGAACAACAACTTGTTCATGTGTAGCAGCAACTTCCTGTTCATGTGTAGCAGCAACTTGTACATGCTTCCTGCTGTTCCAAGGAACAATGATCAATTGTTGCATGTATAGCAACAGCTTATTCATGTTACTCTGGCAAGATTGTACTGCATGATGTCACTGCTGTCTAGAAACCCTCTTAATTGCACATGTAAACTTGTAGACACTGCCAAAACAGAAATATTCCCAAATTCCCAACATGTACTATAATGAGTCATCATCCCGAACTGTAGTGTAATAGTTTGTAGCATAAATGATCTCACTATATTGAATCGGGAAGAGTCATCTGTGTCATGCTCAATTATGGTAAAATATTCAGTTGGAAAAATGTTTTCGTGCTTTAAATGGCCTTTAATGTGAACCTTGATTGTACATCTATTTTACAAAGCCTGCATTCACTTATTTGAGCAACACTACTATCAATTATGACCATCTTCCTCTTGGTTTTAAATATACTAGTCGGTAATTAATTTCAGAACTGTCTTACTGATATTGATAGGACTAGATGCCCTACCAGAGTTGCTGCGAAGGTTGTAGGGATGGAAGAGCGGCGGGCAAGGCTTAGGGCAGCGGCGGCGGGTTGGCGCCGTGGTGATCACGGCGCAAGGAAGAGGAGAAGGTGCAGCTAGGGCTCCCAATGGAAGCCGGCAACAATTAGGTTGCTTCTGCGTAATTCCAATCTTAATTGTTTACAGAGTCTTTATCCTCTCTAGGATCCTATAATTAAGGAATAAATACCATAAATAACTAATAATACTAATATGGGATGTTAGCCGCTAAAGCCGATGTCCTCCTCTAGCCACTAATGGGCATGCGCCTATTATAGTAGACGCCGGTCATAACAGATATGTTGATGTTTTTAGGCTGAAATGGAATCCATCGCTGCTGCACCTGTAGAAGACGTCCAAGTTTCAAAGACCCCTGCTGAAATTGTTGCTCAAGTGTTGCCGAAATCAAAATTTCTTCAAAATATTGGCCTTCAACTAGCAGCCCCCAAGAGAAGCTCCAAAGCCATTAATGATGCACGGGTTATAGAACTTGAAATAGAAGTTGCAGCTGGAAAGCAAGACAAAGAAGAACTAAAGGATGAGATGGAGACTTTGAAGAAGAAGGTGGAGGAATCAGAAAATGAAAGATGCAGGCTGTTAGAAGAGACAGAGCAGTTGAAGAAGGCACAAGATGAGTTGAAGAAAGCACAAGACGAGACGAATGCTTTCTTTCATCGCATGTTCAGCAAAGAGTAAGGCCATTCCTTTAACTCAGCTAGACTTACCCATCATAAACCAGAAATAAAGTGACACCAAGGAGTATGCAAGGCTTTATCGGTGGAGTTAGCTTGATAAAATTTTGCATAAAAGTCACTAGTTGAGCTATACATTTTATAATTCGGTAACCATGTTAATTATAGCTATTCATCTCTAGATTAGCAACTAACCTGTGCTAAACATGTGGAATATCATTTAGTAACGTGCAATAGTAACCATAGCCGGTGTAACATTTCCATATTCATTATAACCATCAAATTCCATCAATTAATGCTATGTTGCCGCTGCTCAGTCAAGTTCTCACTATCTAGGAGAGACAATGACTCAAATTGATTCCAAGTAGCTGGGGAGTTATTCCTAACACAAATCCAGACATACCTGCGCTAAGATAGTCTTAGGTCACCTTTGGTACAACTCAGGTACAGTCGTGGGTCTCATCAGCGCCACACCCTCAGGGATACTACCAGTCTGCCAGGAAGTTCAAGCCTAGCCTACCCTTGGACTCATGCCACTGGCTCCTAGCACATCTTTACTGCCTCTAGTGTGCGCACTTTCACTTAGTGGGTCGCGGCCTGAGTTGAGCTACTCGGCTTCGTGATCGGAACGAGTTATCCGACCAACTAAGTGCTAGGCATGCGTTCAACATGACATGAGAACGTACAGTGAATCAGTCCTTAACCGACACAAACGGGGATAAATAGGCACCAAGACCTCCATGCCTTGTTGCTTCTCTATCACAATCCCGCTCGGTCTCCTTTTATTTATCAACACATGGTTATTTTCATGATAGCAAATAAAGCCAACCGTGCTTTGGTATCCACCTATATCTCACAGGTGATAGGAAATCACCCAACTTCTACCAGTCTAAGTATTGCAAAGTATACATTCGATCCTAGACCTACATAGGGTTCAAGGTATATTTCTGGACAAGATAGTTATATGCATCAAATGGTTCCAATCAACTCTTATAACCTAATGCATCAAACATAAAGTACTCAAGTGATATTTGTAAAAACATAGGAGGCTTAGAATGCTCTATGGCTTGCCTAGGATACGACACAAGTCAGTTCAGTTAGCTCACACCGTCTTGGTGACATCTCCGGTCTTAGCACTTGCTTAGTCCTTTCGTGTTCTGAATGGATTCACCAAACTTCATCTTTGGGTTCGGCTCCATCATCATGTCCTTCACATGGTGCATCTAGTGTACCTAGATGAGATTCAACAATGCAAGTGCATGAATGCAAAGAATGGCAATATGAGATGCCTCACATAAAAGTATTCAAGATGAGCACAAGATTACACCGAACATATATAAGCACTCCACGTTACTTAGTTAAACATCCCACAACCTATCATGCTAGGATAGCAAGGAAGGTAGCACCAAGCGTGACACAAGTTTCAAAAGGTTTTAGGTATATTAACTTAACACCATAAAAGGCATGAGCCACCCTTAGCAACACATAAAGCAAAGCAAGGTGAAGCAAACAATTTGAGGTACAAACGTAGATTCTGAACAGCAGCACCACAATCACTTGTTTTAATCATATCCAGAGTTCTAGGTATGCAAAAAGTGTGATTAAAGACTTTATGGAAATCTAATGAAATTATCTAAAACTTTTTTATTAACACCAAAAGCTGATTCAACAAATAACAAGGTCAAAATACATCATGAAGCAAGCTTATACAACTAAGGATAGAAAACTGATATTAACTTTAGAAATGCATAATTAGCATTCTAATCATTAAACAAGCATGATTCTTAACTTTATGGAAATATTATTAAATTACCTATAACTTTATCAGTATCATTTTAAGATGATTCTACAGCTAACAAGGTCAAACAACACCAAGAAGGCATATCTGTCCAGATTTGGACAGAACCTGCCATTTCATTTTGAATTGCAATAACTAGAGTTCTAGACCACCAAAAGCAGTGATCTTAGACATTTTGGAATGCTTAGGAAAAGAACTATAACTCTCCTATTATCACTAATACATGATTCCATGTTTAAATGAGCCAAACAAAACAATCATTCAGATATGTCCAGAGGACATGCAAAAACCTGACAGCAAACTTCTAAAATCTATAACTCCTAAACCATCATGCCTAAAATCATGAAATTTGAGGACAAGTAATATAAGGAAATTATCTACTACTTTTGTATTCACCATATTTATAGAAAGCATCATTTTTTCACAAAGTTATCATCACAAAAAAATGCACATGCAGCCATTTTAGAATGTAACAATTTGATGTTTCACTTGTTTTGCTAACAAAGAGCTTGCACACATGAGCCATTCAAGAACTTCAACCACAACTAATCATACTTAGCAACACTTTATTGAACACCAATCACTCAAAGCATCACCAAATACAATTACAAGCTTTATCTATAATTATGCTTTTATTAATCCTTTCTCCTAATAAACATATATATAATTTTAATGATATATGAGAACAACTAGTTTAGGTCTGAGATTTTTATGAGTGGTAGATGTTCTCAAAACATGGCTACTACACGAATTTCACATGCTCAGGTTTTATAATTTAATTACTATGAAAAAGACAAATTGCTATTGCAAGAAAACATGTAAAAGCAAGATAAATCTAAAGATTATCATTTTCTATAAACACATAGCCATATTATATATTGTTATGGTATCTCAACATCATACAAAGGTAGCAGAACCACATTTTCTATTTTTACACCTACATAAAAATTATAACTTATTTAAAACCATTTATCAAGCTTTAATCAAGTTAAATCAATTACTCAACCATACTACATCCAATGACCATGAAATTCTTACCACAGCACACACATGGCATCAGTAGCCTACCATAAAAATTTCACAGCAATTGGAGCACAACAACTTTAGATATGAGAATAACAAGCAAAATAAGCTAAAATTGCCTATTTAACAAGATTAAATAAAAACATTATAAAAACAGTACACAACTAGCATGTTTAATATTTTTATTAGCTAGATAATGTAATCACAAGATTAACACAACTGGAACTACCATTTGTGGACTTCTATAACTCAAGATATGCATCCAACAACTTAAAAGGATTTTTAAAAGAACTTTGCAAGAATAAATAAAAACAACAGAAAATTTCTACTAACACATATCATATTATGACTCTACTGCATATATATACTCACAAGGATTCCAAAAAGTCATCATTTGCCATTTTACGATTTTTCTACGATTTATTTTGATTTTCCAAAGTTTTAGCCAAATAAATGCAATAAAGGAAAACACAATTGCATCGAGGCCCCTAAACTTCCACGAAAATAAATTCCAACGAACAGGTCCTTCTATGTAATATTCCCCTGAGTCACGGTTGTTCATTTCACCCCCTATCTTTTCTTCTATTATTGCACGAGGTCCCCTTCGTCTTCCTCACCGAACAGAGCAGAGCAGGGCACGATAGGGGTGGCTTCGGGGTTGGTCGGCCTTGGCCAGCAGGAGCCAGCAGTAGCGGGGAGCACCCAGGGGCCATAGCGCACCGGTGGGAGGCAGTGGCTTTCCTGGAGGTGGCTCATAGAGGCCCGACCATGTGCACTGGCAGTGGCGACGGGAGCGACTCCGATGGCTGGGATGCTCCAGCGGTCTCTCGCTCGACCGAGGAGCTCTGGTCAGAGAGGAGAAGGAGGCGGAGGTGGTGGTGCATGCAGCTAGGGCAGAGAAGGCCCGGAGTGGCCTGGCTCTGGTGCCATGGTGGCAGGAGTCGGGCGGCCCAGCGGCTTCAGCACTGGAGCGGTAGCGGCGCTGCTGGGAAGGCGGTGCGGGTGCGAGGAGATGGTGGCGGAGCAGGTTGTGGCAGCGGTGCTATAGTGGTAGGGTGGGTGGACGATAGGGAAGGGAGTGACGGTGATGGGTGCAGCTCTACTCGGCCAGCAATGGCGGTCATGGTTGGCGCGTCCACGCTCTGGTGTGGAGCGAGGAAGGGAGCAAGCAGAGGCGAGGGTGAGGGAGTTAGGGAGAGGGGGAAGCTCGGGCGTGCACTTTGGAGGACGCAGAGGCATGGCAGGGAGGTAGGCGCATGCGACAGCGGTGCACAGCAATGGTGGGGGCATGGTTGGCGCATGGAGGACGTGTTGGCATTTCCTCAGATAGGTGGCGAGCGACGGTCGGGGCAAGGTAGGAGCCGATTTTGGGGTCAGCTATGGGCCGATTTGGACCTTGGGCACAAAAGCAAAGTTGAAGCCCACCTCATGATCTACAAAACTCATTAAGGAAGCCTAGCCATTAGAGCTCTCCATTAGCACCTAATTAAGCATGAAATTGATAGTGTCAGTGACTAATCGAGGATTAAGCCTTGCTCTGCTTGAGCTCGAATTACTTGGTCAAAACATGGTCAAATTGATTCCAACTTTTTGTATGTTCTTCTCCAAGATGTAAACTCCAACTTTTATATTTGGCTCAACTTGAGTTGCTTAACAAAAATCTAAGAACGCAAAACGCCATTGTCAATGATGATGAATTTTGGACTTACAATTATTTAGAGCCCAGAAACAGCAGTTGATTCCATCTTGAGTCCTCTGTTTAAGCCAATTAGAAGTTGAATCAGGCCTTGGTTCAAAAATAAAGTTTGTTGTACTCCACTCAAACTTCAACTTATATTAAAGGTCAAACTTCATATCTAGTATAGAAACCATTTCTTCATCTTGGTCAAAGTAGCACCTCGTTAAACCCTAGAATTAGGGATTTCGACCAATTGAGGCCTTTTCTTGACTTTTTCTCAACATGAACCCTTCATGACTTTTGTTGTAGAGTTCAATTAGAGTCATTTGGGTAAGGTAGCAAAGTTTGTTCGACATCTCATATTTCCATTTACTTAATAAAGCAATTCAATCAAGATTATAACTTATCATTTCATATGACTTCTTGGCTCCAAACTTCATGAAACTTTTCCACTGGTCAAGATGGATGCATGTTGATGTAATATACATGAAATAAACATGTTTAA